TGGGCAGGGACACCTCCCACTATCCCAGGTCCCAGCTCCATCCAGCCTGGCCTGGGACACTTGCAGGGATGGGGCAGCCACAGCTTCAGCTCACAGGATGAGCTCATTAACATCTCATTAGAAAACAGGTAATTTGGGAGCAAGCTCCTCTTGAGCTCACAGTTCAGTGGTGTTTATGCAGGAACAGGATAACAGGATAAAAGGATATTTATTGTGTTTTTCACATCCTATTTAAAGGGGGTTGTGAGGAACCCATGAGTGTCTGCAGAAGCTTCACTCTGTACCAGCACAGAAACACTTGGGATTTTCCCAGGTTCCCAGTAATGGTGTTGCTTTGCAGATCTCCACGCTGTCCCTGCACTCCATTGACAACCAGCCCCCCGAGGAGCTGCCCGTGCTGGGGGCGGAGGAGCTGGAGGCGCTGCAGGACCCCAGCGTGGTCACCAAGAGGATCGCGCTGCTCGAGGCCCAGAGGCACGAGATGAAACCCAACCTGGCGGCCATTGCTGAGTACAGGAAGAAGGTAAAGCCTTCCAGGGCCATCCCATCTCCGGGAATTCCAGCCAGAGGAGTCCTGTTCCTCAGGGGAGCCCCGTGGTTCCTGTCACCAGCCCGTGTTTGTCAGCTCATCCTCAGCCAAGGCTGAAGGTGGTTTTAGGAGCTTCCATCAGCCTTCTGTATTCCACACCATCAGCCCTGGTGATCTTGGAGGTCCTTTCGGGCCTAAATGATTCCCTGAGTCTCCTGTCAATGTTTTATTTATAGTCAGGTCTTCACAGCTGAGACAGAAAAACTACTGGGAGTTTTTTCTCCTCACTTCAATAATAGTGGACCATCCATCAGGTGGAATATTTTTTTATTTTACCACGATTTTTCCCTCAGCAGCAGAGGAGAAAAGAGGAATGATGTTTGGTTTTTTGTTTGTTTGAGGGCTGTTAGCCTGAAATTCCTGAAAGAGGAATTTTCAAACGGTAGGAAAAGTGGTTTAAAACATAAATTGAGGAGGCAGTTGTTTAACTGCATTTTTGTGGTGCTGTTTGTGCTTCCCTGCAGGAGGACCTGTACCTGAAACACGTGGCAGAGCTGGATGACATCACCACCGAGAGGGACAACTTCAGACAGGCCTTTGAAGATCTCAGGAAGCAGAGGCTGAACGAGTTCATGGCAGGGTTCAATCTCATCACAAACAAGCTCAAGGAGAACTACCAGATGCTCACCTTGGGGGGGGATGCTGAGCTGGAGCTTGTGGACAGTCTGGATCCCTTCTCCGAGGGAATCGTATTCAGGTTGGTCAAAATAAAGAATTGTCACATTCCTTTTTCCAACCTGTTTTTAAAGGTGATCATCAGTGAACCAAGACAGGCTCGCTATTGGCAAGGTACTGACAGAAACCACAATTTTTAGCTGTGGGATTCATTTTGCTGGAGGAACTAACAGCAGTTGGAAAGCTTTGACCTCATTTGGCAGTGCTGAATTCCCAAATCTGCCCAGGGAATGGGGGCACTCGTGTTGTGCCACAGCCGCTGTGAGGAGCGTGTTTGGAGCACTGGGGAGGGGAACCCCAGGAGCTGTGGGGTGTCCCAGCAGGGGGCCTGGGTGTGGAAGTCATTCCCCCCCTGTGTTGCAGCGTTCGGCCTCCCAAGAAGAGCTGGAAGAAGATCTTTAACCTGTCTGGGGGGGAGAAGACGCTGAGCTCGCTGGCGTTGGTGTTCGCGCTGCACCACTACAAACCCACGCCCCTGTACTTCATGGACGAGATCGACGCCGCCCTCGACTTCAAGAACGTCTCCATCGTGGCCTTTTACATCTACGTGAGTACCGGGGGCACCTCTGGCAGTGCCTCCTCCCCACACACAGACTGGCAGCAGCTCCAGCCACACTGAAATCTGCAGCCACAGTGGCAGCCGCAGCTCCGGAGGAAGCAATTTCCAAAAGTGCTTGGAATTTTGCTTTCTGCCGGTTCTTTTAAGCTCCTGAGTTTGATGATTCCCCAAAGTGAGGGGACTAATAGAGGATTTACGAGTGTTTTCCCTCCAAATTGTGTTTCAGAAGATGCCTAAAGAGAGCTGGAATTTGCCAAAGGAGCTGCATCTCCATGTGCTGCTTCCTCTTTAAAAATCTTCCAAACCCTCAGCTCCTGTGGGCTGGAACACACAGCTGACTGAGCTCTTGGTGATGTCTCCATGTATCCAAGCTCCTGATCTCTCAGGAGCAGCCAAGGTTCCTTGGATTCCAAGGATTTATACTTCCAGTCATTCCCATGAGCTGTGTCCCATCAGTGTCTCTGATCTGTCTTGATTAGTAGTTTTTCTCATGCCTTTAAAAGTCCTGCCCTCACCATATTTAAGCAAAGCAAACCTTTCCAGCTCCAGTTGTGGCTGCCAATTAAACCTGGGCTGTTGAGAATTATCCCAAATGTCACCACCAGTTTTGGGAACAGATGGCAAAGATTAGGAGCAGCTGCTTTAAATTAGGGGAACACCTGCAGGTTCCCTGCCTGCAGCTGCAGGTTTGAACTTGGCTTCCCCAGTGTTTCCACAAAGGAGGGTCCCCACCCACAGGTGAGCCAAGGTTTTAATTCCAGCTGCAGTTTACACTGACACAGCCAGTTAAAACCCAGGACTGAGTTTAGCTTTTAAATGCAGATTTAACTTAGTGTAGGTTGTGTTGTGTGCACAGCTTTGAACTTCCACGAGCAGCCTGGGCTGGGGGAGGTGTCCCTGCCCACAGCAGGGTGGAACTGGATGGGCTTTAAGGTCCCTTCCAACCCCAGCCATTCCATGTTTCTGTCCTGGAGAAAAGGGGCTCAGCCCTGAACTTACCCTGAGACTGGGGGGTTCTTCAGCACAGAATCAGGTTTATTTCCAAAGCATCACCAAGTTCAGACACTGTTACCTGTTGTGTGCCTCAGGGTCACACAGCACAGGGTTTGCTTTCTCCTCTTCAAATCCATGGAAATTGATTTTCCTGGGTCACTCTCAAAGCAACCCAGGTGACTCCCCTCCGGCCTTGTGGAATTCCTGGAAGGAGAATGGGAACAGGAACGCTGGGGCTGGTGATGACTCCTCAGGCCTGTCCCTGGCCAGGGGGCTCCCCCAGGACAGAGCTTTGGGAATGCTGGGCATTAACAACTCCTTTGTGTTTCAGGAGCAAACCAAGAACGCCCAGTTTATCATCATCTCCCTGCGGAACAACATGTTTGAGATCTCGGACAGGCTCATCGGCATCTACAAGACCATGAACACCACGAAGAGCACGGCCACCAACCCCAAAGCCATCTCCCTGAAGGGACTGGCTGAACTGGCTGCCCTGGAGGGGGGAGCCCAGAGCCAGGGGGGCCCAAGTGCCCTCCCCTCTGCTGCTCTTTAGGTCTGTCTAAGCTACTCTTGCTTTGGTTTGTACATTTTGTTAATAAAATCCCCACCTCAATAAAGTCCACTTTTATATTAAACTGCCCTGTAGAACCTCTCCATGAGGGGCCAGGGGAGGGTCTGCAGGGAGGTGCTGGCCAGTCCTGCTGTAAGAATAGGCTTTATTGGGAGGCAAACTCAGAGAATACACGGGGAGAGTTACAGGAGTCAGTCAGTGGTAAAGGCACTTTCAGTTCCTGGGATAAAAAATAAAGTTGTGTTAGAAATTCTTTAAAAAGGAAAATAAAAGACAGGAAGAGGGGTGGGAAGAGCAGCCTTGTGGGGCAGTGAACAGCCCACCAGCACTGGAGAGTGATGGGCCAAGGGCAGCCTCCCAGCAGGGCTCAGGACAAACTTCCAGTTGTACTGGGAAATGAGAGCACTTCCACAGTCCCAGCACACACCTGGAACACCATTCCAGAACTGAGCAGTGGGATGGGTGGGAGTTGCCACTGGGACTCTGAAAGATGACAGAAAAACTCAGCAACAAATTCCAGGCACAGCTCCCACCCCATCCCAGAGTCCTCCTGCTGCTCCTCCCCTGGGACACTCCACCCCTGAGCTGCACCTGGGCTGAACTCAGCACTGGGATATCAGGATCACCTCTAGGCTTGAGGAATGTAACAGTATCAGCTCTAAGGACTGGCCTTGCCTCAGCTGTGGCAGCAGGTGGGATTTGGCAGCACCCCACAGTGCCTGCTGATAATGGGCAAGTTTGGGGTTCAAAACCCCAAGTTCAAGAGTTAAAGGGCAGCTTCAGAATTCAATCCCTACTTACCCGCAGCTTACACCCACATCAGCCAAGGAATGCTGCCAGGCATCAAAAGGTTAAATATAAATCAAAAGGTTCAATATAAATTCCCATTCCTTGTCAGGTTAAGAGCTCCTGACATCTGAAACCCTCCTGCCCCAGACTCCAGCAGGAGTTCTGCCACTTCCTGCAGCGTGGCTGTGCTTTCACTGCACCCTAAATGATTTGGGAAAAGTCAGGGAGCAGTGGGAGGTCCCTCCCTGCCAGCCCAGACACCCCCAACGTGGGTCTAGACCTGTGTGAGCATCCAAGGTCCTGCTCTGCAGGGCTCCCTGGAGAGGGGAAACCTGGGAAACACACAAAGTTATCACACACAGGACAAAAAAATGACAAAAAGAGGAAATCGTGTCCTTCCCTCTACCCAGAACCAAAACCTGAGCCTCAGGGCCACGAGCACAGACAGGGCAGTGACAGCCCCGGCCCCTCTGCAGCTGGGGGGTCCTGATAACCTGTCACATTTGTATTAAAAAACAATTTCAAAAGGGGTCACTAAAAATAAAGAGAGTCGATGCTGAAGGAGTTTTCAGAGCTGAGAAAGATTCCCACGTGTAAGGTGGTTCCAGCTGCTGGTCCTGCCTGGATCCCGGCTGGAACAAACACCTCAGTGGGACAGAAAGCCCTTCTTGGTGCAAATCTTTCCTTCCCTAGGACTTAGAGGAAACCCAGGCACTAGACAAAAGGAGGGATATGGGAATGGAAGGGAAAAGCGTAGAGCTTTAATAATGGAGCTTTTCAGTGGGAATCAGAAATGATCCTGGATTCCGGCACCGGGTCCTCATCTAATCGCGGAAGCAGCCGAAGGGGACAATCCTCCTGCAGAACCCCATCAGGGAGCTGAACGGGTGGCACAGCCCTTCCAGGGCCTTCTGCAGGTGGGAGCAGGAGTGCTGGTACAGCTGGAGCAGGAATTCCCAGATCCATGCGGGAGCAGCCTGGATGGCGCCGGCGGGCAGCGCTGTGTGCAGGGCGAGCGCGGCACCCACCGCCCCCAGCAGCAGCAGCAGCAGCAGGGTGGGCAGGCTCACTGCACACCCCTGCTCCCTGCCTGCCACCTTCTCCTTCCCAGGGCAGCTGCTGCACGGCTTCCTCCTGGGAACCAGCGTCAGTTTTGGAGGGGGGATCCTGTGGATCTGACCCACTTCAGTTTTAGCCCACACGTCCCTCAGCAGGTCCTCCATCCTCGGACGAATCTCCAGAGGTTTCACGTCGGGCAGCTCCTTCTCCCTCAGGGCCTTGACCCGCTGCTGCAGCTCCTCCAGCTTCTCCAGGCACAGCAGGGGGGACTTTTCCCTGCGGATGGACGAGTTGAGGTACTTCAGCTCAATCTCTTCCACCTTCATCTTGCTCACGCCCTCCAGCAGGGGCTCGTGTTCCCGCAGGAAGCGCCTGTCGAGCTCATCCAGAGCCCCCAGCAGGGCTTGTTTCTTGTGCTCCAAGGTGTCCCCCAGCTTTTTGAAGAACTGCCCCACCACGTCCCTCTCGCTGCGCAGGAGCTTCTCCCACTGGGATTTCTGCATGGTCAGCTTCATGTAGCACAGCAGCACCTCCCTCCAGTACTGCTCGGGCAGCTGCTCCTGCAGTTTTCCAGCAGCCTCCTTGGCCCTCCGGTGGGCGCTGTGCAGGTCCCCGATGGGGTGCCCGTGGTGCTGCCCTATGGTGAGGCACTGCCCGCACACCAGCTGCTTGTCCAGCAGGCAGTAAATGTTGAGGGGCTGCCGGGGGTGCTCCCGGCACGTCTCCACATCCCAGGGCTCTTCCTGCCGGCACTTGTCAATGACGGCCTTGAGGGCGAAGTTGACGGGCAGGGATTCCAGCCCCGCAGCCGGGATGTCCACCAGGGCCCGGCAGTTGGGGCACTTGAGGCGCCTGCGGGCGGAGAAGGTGTCGGAGCGCTGCAGAACGCCCTGCAGGCACTCCCTGCAGAAGGTGTGCGAGCAGGGCAGCACCCGCGGGTCCTGGTAAATGCCGCAGCACACGGCGCAGCTCAGCTCCTCCTCCAGCCGCTCCATGGCCTGCGCGGGGAAAGCAAACACAAACAAATTTGGGGTGTCAGCTCTTCCCACCGTCACCTCCGGGACAGGAATTGCCACCTCGGCATTTACTGCCAAGGGGGGGAAAAAGGCAAAAAAAAAAAAGGGGTGAAAACGAAGAAGTTCAAAGATTGCAGCAAAGTCTGAGCACCCACGGCCAATCTCTGTCTCAAAGCAGCAAAAACCACCCCATGGTTTTTACGGTGGGAAACGGTAGAAAAGAGTGGTAAAAGCAGAACTGGGATTTCTGAATAACCTCAGAATTATGAACAATTTAATTTCTCCCAGCACTTCCAACATAAGAATAGACCAAGAAGTGCAGAGACTTTTTTTTTTCTGCCCTAACTTGTTTCAATTGTTCCCTTTGCAACATAAAATGGTCATTGGAACATTAAACAGCCACATTTACTAGAAGCTCTCTCAAGGTTCTGGCACTAAAAATCCAACTCAGCAGCCCTCACAGACACCACCAGCACCAGGAATTAGATTTGTGTGTTATTCCTGGGCTACTTTTAAGCACCAAACTCAAAAACTAACTTTCACTTTCCATCCTTTGCGATGCTGCCTCGTTTTTCTTCGCCAGCTCGGTGAAATCAGTGTTAAACCCCAAATAACAGTAACACTAAATCATAATTCTGATTTTCATTCTGCTAAAAATATGAGGGAATTGGTACCAAAGGTTTCCTTCTCTTTGTGCCCCTTTTTCCTGCCCCTCCACCAGTTTTAATCAGAGACTTTGCTGCTGAGTTTTCAGGGTCAAACCCCACCAATTTGGGGTCTAAATCACAATCTGCAAACAATAACCTGGAGCGGAGCTCACAGTGAGGGAGGGCAGGAGCTCAACACCCAAACCCCAGGGTTCGATCAGCCCCGAGCACAGAAACAAGCCTGGCTTGGCTCACTGGGTGAGACAGTGCCAACAGAGCAACTAAAAAGTTTAATTTATCAGCTTATTTTTAATTTATCAGCACCCAAAACAGCCAGTTCAGGCTGCATGTTGTTAAGTCAACTTTGCATTCAAAACACACTTCGATTAATTCAGCTCTAAGAAAAAAAAAATCAATTCAAACAATCTATGCAGCACACTTTGAGGTAAATTAACACCAAATGTTGGGTCACTTCTTTGAATTCTTTTTTTCAAAAGAGACCTTGACTACAGCTGGGAAAAAATCTCCAAGAGGGAGACATAATTCCATGGAATTCCTAAGAACTGCCCTTTAAAAGCAGAGAGTGTGAGCATCTATAACCAGCTGGTGCATTCTCCTCAGTAAAGACAATTTACATCAGGTCCAACAGATATTTAACAAAAGACCTTCATGACAACGACACTAAATCTATTTTTTACTAAACAAAGGCCATGAGGTTATTCCTCTTCCCCTGGGAAGCCACAGGCCTTTATTTCCCAGCTTTTCCAGTCAGCCACTGTGGCAACACTGGGTTATTAATGCTATGGTTTTAAGTGATGTTCAGACCCTGGAGCTAAAGAAATGTGTCAATAATGAAGGGAGATGAGGAACAAATCTACTCCTCTGCCTAGATAATTATTTTTTATCATTAATTCCCATAGGAAATAAATGTAAAGATTTTTATTTTATTTATATTTATACAAATATTTTTATAAATATTTATATATATGGATTTATATAAAAGGGTTTATATGTTTATATATTTATATATAATTTATATATATATATAAAGATATTATTAATCTTGGGAGTGTCACTTCCATTGAAATGAAAGGAAAAATAAGTTACTTTTTTTCTCATAGTTAGAAAAAAAAAAAGAATCCTTAGTAGACATTCACTATTTTCTCTTATATATATATGGAGTTAATATAATTTTTTAAAATCTCCTTGTTTAAAATCACTGATTCTTCCCAAATCCAGCTGTTGCAGGAGGGAAATTCCCTTTCTAAAGAACACACATCCAGTCTATTTGAGCTGCAGAAGGAACGAGGTAAAATGAACCCTCATCAAACAACTGTTTGAACTCCAAGGAGCCCCTTTGCTACCAGAAAAACGAAGGGAAAACTTCATTCCAAGCAGGATTTGGAATGTCAGTGCTGATTTTTGCTAAAGCACCCTGTGCTTCCTTAATTTCTTCTAGCCAATTCCCGGGAGTTGTAGCAGGGAAGTAAAAGGTTTGGAATTCCCAAAATTTCACCCAGCACTGGCAGCACAGAGGAAATATCCATACATTGATTTATTTCCACTGCTGTTCACCTGCAGACTGCTGGAAACAGGGACTGGAACCAGCAATTGGAAAACACAGAGAGAAGAGGCCCAAAATCACAGAGTTAAGCAAAGAGAAAGAAAATAACTTTTCTAGGAAAAAAATAAAATAAAAGCAGTAGCAGGAAGCTGGGAAATGCTTTCCTGCACAGAGCAGATACTTTTCCTGGCATGTTCCAAACGACTGTGGCAGCAAATCCATGTGCCACATGTATAATAACAGGATAATAAATATTCAGATTTATTGTAAGAGTCCCTGCGCATTCCTTGATAACTCTTCCTCTCCCCGAGATCTCCTGCTCCTCCAGCTCCTTATGCCAGAGGTTGTTTAGAAAAAATGATATATATTTGCATATGTAAATATACAAACTGTGGAACACAGCACCCATCAGTGTTCAGGCGGATAAATAACTGGTTTAGAGGACAATCCCACGCACCCCATTCTACTCCAGAGGACTGAATTTGGCACTGGATAACAATCCATTCCAAGGGCACCCCCAGGAGTGGGAGCTCCAGGCTCCCTGCTCCTCCTGCTGCCAGCCAAGGAAACCTCTGCTGTCTCCTGTGGGAATGCAACCCTCGACTTCAAAACTGTGCTGAACTTCACCCACATCCACGCAGGAATGCCCAATCCCTGTCCCACAGAGATCCATGAAATCCTCTTTATCACCGGCATGGAAGCTCAAGTTTATGTTGTGCAAGAAATAAGAGATCAAATGACGTTACAACGTTTGCCATTTATAAATCACCTTCCTGGTAAAGGAACAAGAAATAAACCCAGCAGGAATCACAGACAAGCCTAAAAAATCCCTATTCCAGCCCATTCCAGCCGTGCTGCTGCGTTATCCCACACCGCGAGTCACAGCAGCGCTCAGCCGGGGATGTTCTGCCCCGGTCCCCACTCCTACACCGGGGGCACAGAGTTTTACACTTTTTGGGTGGTTTTTTTTTTTTTTTTTAACAAAGTTTCGGGGTTTTTAATGACCCGGAGGAGGCGAACACAGCCCTGTCCAACCTGAGGGTTCCCCGCGGTCCGTCCCTTCTCTGGCTCCTCCTCCACACGCACCACTCGACACGAGCTCCAAATTCAAACCCTCCGAATTCGCCCCGGGATCACGGTTACCGGGGATCCTGAGGGAATCCCTGACTCCCGAGAGCGACCCGGGCTGTTTCGCGGATCCCCCCACAGTATTATGCGTTGTTTATGTCATAAAAAAGAGTTCGGTCCCAGCCTCGGTTCGTGTGGGACCCACAGCGATTTTTCGCTCAGCTGGAAACTTCCCTGCCCCACCTCGATCTCAGAGGTTTCTCAAGACCATCATTTCAGTTAAGAAGTTTTCAACAGGCACTCGCGCTGGCGATTTTTAAACCAGACTTCAGGAAAGCTGAGAGAGAGCAGAAACCAGCGCCAGGACTTCGATGCCCCCCGTGGGTCCTTTCCAAGCCTGGATATTCCGCGGTTCTATATCCTCCCTCCGCCCTTTCTTTCTGTGCTGAGATCCCCCTCCATCCCTTATAACTCTGTCAAAGCTTCTGGTTTTGAGCATTTATCCGTCGCTCACCTCACAGCATCGGCGGAGGTGAAGGATGAACACACTTTACCTGCGTCCCTCAGGGTCCCTCCTGCCGCAGCTCCCACGCCGGCAACGACGGGCACCGTCCCCGGCGGAGAGACTGGAAAACGGGATCAACACCTGGAACCCGCCGAGGTCACAGGGATAAAAACGAGCGGAGATGCAGCGAGAGAGCGGGCGGGTCGGCGGGAGGGCAGCGCTCGCAGCCCCCGACCCGCGCCGAGCCCTCACGGAGCGCTGAGGGCGCCCCCGGCCCCCATCCGGGCAGCGCCGCGGGGCGAGGGGGCCGCTCCCGCCGCGCTCCGAGCCGGGATGGACCCCCCGCTCCCGCCGCCCCCACGGGGAGCAGGGGGCTCCACACGGGGAGCAGGGGGCTCCGCACGGGCAGCAGGGCAGCTCCTGGGGCAGAGGGAGCCGCTCCCGCCCGGCTCCTCCACGCCGGGATGGGTGCCCCGCTCCCGCCGCCCCGCAACGGCCGCGCAGTTTGAATGTAAACGGCGGGAAGGGGCGGGAGGAGCCGGGGGCGGGCATGGACACAGGGCAGGCACCGGCGGAGGGCGGGGACGCGGCCGAGGACGGGGCAGCCGCGTCCCCGCAGGGTCCCCCAGCCGCCAGGAACCGGGGGGCTGTGTGTGAGGGAGCGGCTGAGCCGCCCAGGCGGAGGGGACGGCGGGGGAAAGGAGGGCGCTCACCGGGAACGGTGCCCTGGGTGCCGGCATCACAATCGTGGAGCGATCCATCGGCTGAGGAGCGGTGGAACCCCGCCCTGCAATCCCCGTGTTACCAACCCCATTCCCCTTCACGAATTTACCCAGAAGTGCAAACCAGGAGACTGAAACCTCCTGCTTTGGGGGCGCAGGAGCTGACCCGGAGCTGCCGACCACAGAAATCAACATTAACGCGTGTTTAAACTGCACGCTTTTACCGGCTTGGGCTACTGACGATTGTTATAAAGTACCTTTGACAAGGGCCTGGAGCGACAGGACAAAGGGAATGGATTTAAACTGGCAGATGGAAGGTTTATATTGGATATTGGGAAGGAATCCTTCTCTGTGAGGGCAGGGAGGCCCTGGCACAGGTTGCCCATCCCTGGGAGTGTCCAAGGGTTTATTTCCAATTCATTTGAACTAAACTGTAAAGTTATCCTCAGCTGCTGCATTCACAGTGAACTTGAAATCGAGAAATGAAAGTCATTTAATATTTTCATTTAAATCATAATACACCATCCAAAATTCACCTAAACACCTTAAAACTGGCATTTAGAGGACCTCATACAAATGCCTGGGAAATATTTGGAATTATGTTTTAAGTAATAAAAAAGTCAGTGTATCTCCCACTTCTAGTTTTTTTTAGAGTTTGGGGTAAACTGGGGACATTCCCCCTTTGCTTTCAACACTGAACAATAATTACTGGATCCTCTTCTCTATATATTTGACAACCATTATTTTTCTATATTTTAGATTACAAGTCTGTAGCTGTCCATGGTATTGTACCACTCCCCTCCCTCTCCCACCCTGCGCTCAGCAAGGTCTTAAATCTATTTAAACATTTCTCCAAAGATGCTTTTCCAGCTCCTCAACACTCTTAATTTAAAAGTGCATCCAAGGTATTAACATACAACAAGTTTTAATGACAACTCTTTTCAATGAAAGCTCTTCCTCAGCTTTGGAGCACATCAAACACAGGACCCCCATTTAGGATGGATTTACTAGCAAAAATGGGAATTCCTTTAGGGAAATTAGGTTTCCAATCATCACTTTTCTGTGGATAATCAACCAGTATTACCTTTTTTTTTAAATCTATTCTTTGTGCCATTTGAGCTTCACTGCACCAGTAGCTAAAAATGACTATTAAGAGTTTGTAACTTTGCACGTTTGCTGCTACTAAGTTTCCTCTCACAAATATTTGATCCAGATGCAGGACTTCTCTAATTGTTCCCAGCCTCGGCACCAGCTTTCCTGCCAGGAATTTGGTGCCACGCAGAGATGAGGAAACATTTACAGTTAAAAGTGGCAAAAATCTACAAGTTTTAACATGAAGATGTTCTTAAGTTATAAAGCTGCCTTAGCCAGTAATTCATTTGAATAGAAATCCTTTTGTTATCTTGACATCCTATCCATAAATTACTATTTTTAAACAGACTAACCTGCTCCTCCACCACCAAAGCAGGTCACAGCTCCCTGGCAGTGCCTGTGATCCACCAGAAGATGGGAAGTACCCTAAGTCGAGCTGAAATGAGATCTTTTCACTTCAAAAACACAGAAAAAGTTGATTAATATCCAACCTCAGTACGATCAATGTTCCCAAAGGCAATCCAAGTTATGTCTTGTTAAATCCAAGACTCCCAAGCAACTCCCTTTCCCCAGCAAAATATTTAATTCCATTACCTCAAACTGCAACCGTGGGGGAAAAAAAGGCACTGGACAAAGCGGTTTCAGTTTTGCTCCCAAAGAACTCCAGCAGTGCCACCCTGTGGAGGCTGGAATATCTCAGTTATCCATGTTCTGGTAAAACAACAGGTGACAGGAGCTGCTGGGAAGAAGGGCAAGAGGATTTTTCATTTTAATAAAAAGGAAAGGCAAAAAAAAAAGGCAAAAAATTTTGAAGAGCATCAGCTTCTGGTAATTTTCTGTAATTGTATTACATCAGGGAAGTGCCAAAAAAAAAGGCATTTTTGGCAGTAAATATAGACTTTGCCAATGTTCTGAAGGGGTTTTGTGTAAGAAAGCTATTCAGAGTTCAGAAAAGTTGCCACAAGGATCTGTTCTCCTCCTCCCCCAACAAGAAAAGATTCTAATAAAAGCAATTTTCTACAGAACATCCTCCACAAAGGTGGTTTAGTGTGAAGATGGCCATTTACTGAATGGAATTCCCCTTCAGAAGGATTTAATTTCCCTTCACTTAACATGAAAAAACCCCTAATTTATCAGTGAATACACAGAATATTATTAAAGATTTACACCAAAATAACTATGTGCCTCCACACCACACCAAAAAAACCCCTCCCCCCAGAGACTCAGGAAGCCCCTTTCTTCAAACCAGCTCTGCACCTTTCCATGGAAAACAATTATATTGCAGAAAGAAGCACCCAAAGCACCAGAATTGCAAGTTTTAATGTTTATTTTCCCCAAGACAGCCTAGCCTGCACTCTACTTGGATAAATTCACAAGCTAGTTTTCCGCTGCTTCTAGTTTTAAACTTTTAACCATGTTTCTGATGACAAGGAATGCTGCAAAAATACTCTAGTCCAACAAAGAGTTATGATCACAAAATAATCTTTATCCATTCTACAGTGTTTCAGAATTACCAGTTGATTTTTTTTTTTAAACACAAGGTAGATATAGATGCTAATAATGGTGGCTAATCTGGTATGTTTTATTTATTATAGCAAACTGTTGTTCATGCAACACTTGTGCTCAAAGGGGAAGGCACAGCATTTCCTACAATGAGCCACCTTATAAAGAGTTCGGTTTGTACAAATTTGTAACCTCGCCTCGAATTTAGTGTGCAGGACCTCAAAACTGAGGCATTCCTCCAATTTTATAAAAACACTTGCACATCCTTTTTGTGCAAGTTTGAAAAATACAAAGTTTTTTTTTTCTCTCTAAAGTGGCTCAAAATAGATTGTTCATGGCTGCCTACATCTAAGATAAAAAGAGTCTAAAACAATTGGATTAGGCATATTAAAGGTGTTCAAACCATGACTTGATTTGTACATCTATTCACACCTCTTTTCTCGGTCTTTATTCGGCAGTACATATGCACCAAATTTCAATTTTTAGACGTTTCCATATCATTTTCATAGAAAACAAAGTTTGAAAACAAGTAACATTGAAACACAGCACGGTATCCTACCACAACAGAAACATTTTGGTTACAGGACTCAACAAAATCTAAAAATGAGCTATGCTGTAGATTACCACATGCAAAGGTCTTCATGTTATCTTTGAAAATGAAAAGGATGAGATTTTTTTATTACCACATTTTACTGCTTTCTACTATTATGGCAACTTGTGTACTGCAACACAGTCTAGTTTGAAGGGAAAAATGAATGATTTTTTTTTTTTTCCATGCAAAAATCTACAAATTAGTTTTGATGATATGGAAAAGCTTTTCATAACATCAAACATTCATCTGGTGCAAATGCACAGGGAAGCCTTCCTGAAATTCTGACTTTACAAACAACTAAAGAAGCCGCACAGGAAAAGAAATTAAAAACAACTCCAAAAGAAAAATAAAAGAGGGGGAGAAAATAAAAACAAAACAAAAAAAGAAACAAAAACAAAACAAGAGAAACACAGGCTGCAGGAGTAAACCAGAGTCTGCTGCTAAACCGGTCTGGTGTCCAGTGTAAGGTGACACTCCAAGTCGGATGGTTTAGGTTGTTCCAGCCCCCTGAAGGCGACTCAAGCTCCATGCGCTCACAGACAGCATCACACCCACTCTCTCATCACACGGCAGGCCCGGAGCTGGCCCCGAGCCCCCGCTGGGATCCAGCCCGGAGCCCCCGCTGGGATCCAGCCCGGAGCCCCCGCTGGGATCCAGCCTGGCAGCGAGTCCAGACATTCACTCAACGTGTCCATTCACACGGTGCTTCATAGCAAGGCCTGGGCTCATTCTCTTGGACTTATGTGGGCATCCTATTCTCTTATGCTTACGAGGCTTGATGATGATATACTGCATTTCCCCCAATTGCTCTAGGAAGTCGGTGTTCTTTCTCAGGCACTGAAGATCTGTGACCTGTAGCCCTTTTTTTTTTCTTTGAACAATCTAAATAAGCATTCAGTGTGAAGTTTTTCGTTACATTTTGCCACTCATTCTCACTCGCACCCACTCGCCATCTTGACTTCATTTGGGCTTTTTCTGTGATTCCAAATGAAATCTTCACATTTGCTTTCCCGATTTAATGCAGCAGCGGATCCCATGAGCCAAGATTGATGGATCAAACCTTTTTTTTTTTTGTTTTATTCAGTGCTGCATTGTACCTAACTTCCAAAATACCACTCTAAAACTGGAACCCTTCTGCTGGTACATTGGCAGATGAATTGAAACCAAATGTTCCGCCTTGTATTGCTTCTGGAACAAGGCTTGGATCTTCATCAATCTG